TTCTTTTTCTGCATGATTTAGTCTTGAAAGATTTTGTGTTTCTCGGACTGTTCATTTCATTTAGATTATACAATTTGTTGGCATACAGTTGTTCTATCACTTTTATGTCTCTAGAGTTGACAGTAATCTCCCAATTTTAATTTCTGATTTTAGCAATTTAAATTTTTTCTCTCTTTTTAGTCTATCAAGCTAAAGATTTGTCAATTTTTTTGGTCTCTTCCAAGAACTACCTTTTGATTTTATTAATGTTCTCTATTGCTTTTGTAGTCTCTGTTTAATTTCTCTCTGCTCTAATAATTATTTTCTTTCTTCTGATAAATTTGTGTTTAGTTTGTCCTTGATTTTCCAGTTCCTTATCCTGTAAAGTTAGGTTGTTGATTTGAGATTTTCCCTGCTTTTTTATGTAAGCATTTCTGGCTATAAATTTCTCCCTTTGCACTGTTTCCACTGTGCTCCATATGTTTTGGCATTTTGTGTTTTTGTTTTCACTCATCTTAAGCCTTTTATAACTTTCTCTGTGATTCTTCTTTGATCCACTGGGTAAGAGTGGGTTGCTTAATTTTTTACAAATTTGCAAATTTTCCAGTTATATTTCTCTTTTGTATTTCTAACTTCTTGCTGTGGTCAAAGAAGACACATTGTATGATAGCTATTTTAAAAAATTTTTTGAGACTTAATTTGTGGCCTAACCTGTGATTTATCCTGGGGAATGTCCCATGTGCACTTGAGAAGAATGTGTATGCTTTTGTTGTCCAGAATGTTGTATAGAACGTTCTGTTAGATCCAGTTGGTTTATTGTGTTAAGTCCCCTCTTTCTTCACTTATGTTCTCTCTGGTTGTTCTATCCATTATTGAAAGTAGGGTATTGAAGTCTTCAACTATTATTGTAAAACTGTTTGTTTTTCTCTTTAGTTTTGCCAGATTTTGCTTCATACATATTGATGGTCTGTCATTAGATGTGCAAGTGTTTATAATTGTTACATCTTTTTGCTGTATATTAATATATCATATCCTTCTTTGTCTAAAAACATTTTGCTTTCAAGTCTTTTTCTGACGTTAGTATGACTAATGCTGCTCTCTTTTTGTTACTATTGTATGGAATATCATTTTCCATCCTTTCATTTTTAATCAAATTTTTTTCATGTTTACTTTGTCTTTATTTTCTAAATTCTATTATTAGTTATTATGATTATGCAGTTGATTCTTTTGGGTTTTCAAGGAAGCAATATTATCAGCTGAAAATACTACATGTTGCAGACATCCTGGCTATGAGTGTCTTGCTCTGACTTTAGTAGCCCCAGCATTTCACACTAAGCATGAGATTGCTGGATGCTTTCCAGAGAGATAATTGAGTTTTCCTGCACGGAAGACCACAGAGGCAGTGAGGTTGCCTTTGGTAAACGATTCTTTTCTCTGTTTCTTACAATTGCTTTCTTTACCCCAGGCAGGCCTCTATTTCCATGCATGTGAAATTCGTGTTTTACATGTTCGTCTCTCCTACTAAGAGGACTAAGATATTTTATTTTTCAAACCTTTAAGTTTCACTGAGAATTTTCCAATAAGCTGTCAAACTTCAAATAGCCCATCTATCGTTTTCGTCTCATTTCACATGTGTCTGTGCCTGCTGCATGATTTTATTTTAGTTTCATATTAATCTTCCATTTCTGTCTGCAGTTTGATCCTAAGCAGAGTATTAAAGGAAACAGGGAACTATTTAGAAGATACATAATCATGGGTATTACTGACAAGCACCCTTTACTAGTACTGTTGGGACATTCTCATGACATAAATTCATCATCGATCTTCTCTGATGAGTTCTCAGAAATCAGAGTCCCCTGGAATGCAAGGGACTTTGTTTAACATCATAGGCATCTAATGATGTGGAGTCAACTATGATGGTAGTCCTATTTCTAAGGTGACTGAAAAAAACCACTAATGAACAGAAAGGAACACATGCCAAGCAGAGGTTATCCGCACAATCCCGGCCTGTCTTGGACCTGGCGCACATGTTTCTGGAGTGGGTCAAGGAAGGGACGGGCAAGGGGGAAAGGAAAGGGCGACGGGAGAGTAGAGTTCAGGCCTGGGGCTGGAAGGGGGGAGGTGAAGCCGAGCAGCGCCTGGCCTCCTCCAGTCTGCAGTTCCGGTCCCCTCCACCCTGCTGAGCAAATAATCAGCCCCGATTGCCTTCTTGGTCAAAAGCCTTTTCTAGTTCATGCAGTGAATTCAGAAATAGAACAATTAAACAAGGAAAGAAATTTATCTGTTCTAGCCACAGAAGCCTAGTTTCATGATTAAGGCACGTCTTAAAATGTAGTAGCTTGTTCTGTCTCTCTGTCTGTCTGTCTGTCTCACTGTTTTCATTCTTTGGTAGTTTTTACTCTCTCCTAGTCTGGCAAGTTCTCTCTCTTTTCTAAGGAAGTGTTTCATTGAGGTTCACATTCTAAATGACTTTCAATCAACAATCTAAAAGTTCAGCAAATTTGACTGTTTTATTGCTGACAACTTTAATAAATGAGTATCATACACACATTCTCAAAATTTAAAAAAAATATTGCTTTTTTTGGGAATTCGATTGAATGAAAAATAACCTAAAAACTGTACCTGGAGCAACGAAAGACTTGTGATCCTATTTAGACACTTCTTTGTTCTATTTCAAAAACTTGGTTTTCAGTAGTTCTGTCATATTAATTTAGTACAGACATTGAAACTGGGGGAAAAAAAAATCCCTGACTAAACTGCTTGGTCACGATTAAGGTGAAATCAAAGAAATAGGCCTGGCTAGAAGGATTGACTTCAACTCAGAATTATGTTTTAGACAGCATATTTTTACATTATTATACGATTTTAAAACTTATGTTAAAATATACATCGCCACACTCATGACTGAATATGGAGGGACTGGAGAAGCATGCGCATTGGGAGACAAGCAGGGAACATGCTCGACCTAAACGAGAAAAGCTGCCCAAGAGCCGGGCCTTTCTCGGGAAGCGCTGCGCGTTCGGCGAGGCTTGTTTTTTTCCATCCCTTGGCTTCCTCCTGCTCTTGGCTTCGTGCATTCCCAAAGTCCCTACTTGCATAGATCATAGCACTACACTGTTCATATTTCCCCTGTCTCTTACCATTGAATTTTGGCCACCTGTACTAATTTCCTAGGGTTCTGGTGTCTGATTAGTTGAAAACAGATGGTGTCTGAGTCGGGACGGAGCTCATGGAAGGAGACTTAGCACAGGCTACGGTGCATGGAATGCTAAGGGAGCTCTTACAAAACGAGAACGCAGTGGGGCCTAATGGCTTCCTGTTCCTGCTTGTCCTTACTTTTTTTCTGTGTTCTCCGTTCCCTTTCTCAGCTCTGTGCTCCCCTCCCGAAGAAATCCTGTTTTCTTCCTTTGTCTTTATCCGTGCCTCTCCCAGTGTTAAGTGGCGTCCTGCCTGTTCAGTGTCTCAGGAAAATACCTTGCTTGGCCACGCTCACGCCTTCATGCCAGGCCATCGGTGGCCAGCGGGTCACAGATTCCCTGCATGAGGGGCCCACTCCACTCCCCCCACAGCGTGGGGACAGGACCCCATGAGACCACAGGGTGGGGACAGGACCCCATGAGACCAGGGACTCTTGGTGGGGCAGGATTTCGTTTGAGGAGGCTGCAGGCGGGAAGACAATGCTGTGTCTGGAACAGATGTTTGGGGACATTTGGGAGGCTGGAAGCTCTTCAGCCTCCGGGGCTGCCCTGCTGAGTGACCGGTGAGCCTGGCCCTACGTCTTGCTTCCTTTAGCTAATCCAGTGGGTTTCGGAGGCACGAAAGAAATGAGAGGAGTCTCAGCATGCCTTCCATCGGCACTAGCAGCAGCTGTCCATTTCCTTTGAGGCCACTTTCCCGCGTCGGAAACAGTCATTACCTTTGCTCTAGATTCCAGGACCTCTGGGCGTCCTGGCGAGGTGCAGGTGAACATGGACCAATGAGTCTGCCTCTTAGTGTGTTTGCTTGATTACATAACTTATCTGAGAGATAGGTCAGCTCTGGCCAGGGCTCCCTAGCACAATTTTGTCCAGTGAAGGCAGCTGGAGGACCTGCTGGCCTGTCTGTTGGTGTGAGTGGCCCTGGGAAGAAAGAAATCCGTCGCCCTGCTTAAGAAGCTCCGAGGAAATAATCCGGGAGAAGTGGAAGGAGGTCAGCTGTCTGTGGGTACAGAGCTTAACCTGAAAAGCCCTAAGCAGATAATTACTCCGGGTACCCAGACCTGGCACCTTTTGCTACCTTCTCTTGGCTTCCAGCGCGTGCGCGCGCACACACACACACACACACACACACACACACACACCCGAACTTCCCTTCTGCTCATGAAACTTACTATTCACAGTTAAACCCCACTTTCTCCTCTCCATCCAGCTTTACTCGTGAATTTCCTGCATGCGGAGCCAGCCATCCGCCCTCCCTTTCCCTTTCTGGAACATCGTTCAAACAGGCGTTCAAACGATGTGACACTGTCCCAGTGAGCTTTAGGATGTTTGTTTCTTTGGGATGAGCATAGATCCACCACCTCAGTCTGTCTCTCCCTGTCTCTCGGCCTCTCTCCTCTTTGAACAAATATGCACCGACTCTGACAACGGGAAAGAGAGGTGCCTCCCTGGGCTCCCCAGTTCAATGTCACGCTGGGCAGAAGTGGAGCGAGAGTGGGAGTGTGCGGCGTGCGACCCTTCCGGCCGGCAGGGGGCAGCCGCGGGGCGGCGCTGGCGCGCGGGCCGAGCGGAGCCTCTCGGCTCTGGCAGCCCCAGCCCAGCCCCGCGCGGCGCAGCCCGAGCGCAGCCACTGAGGGCAGCGGCGGCGGCGGGAGCCAGGAGCGCAGGGAACAGCGGGCGGGCGGGCGGGAAGCAGCAGCCGCCGCCCCGCCGCCGGCGCGACGGGCAGCCGGGCTCGCGCGCAGCCGGCTCGGCCCCGGCCCCGCAGCCTCGAGCCCCGGGCGAGCCTGGTCCCGGCGCCGGCGCCCGCCGCGTCCCCCGGCCATGGAAGGAGGCGGCAAGCCCAACTCGTCGTCCAGCGGCCGGGACGATGGCAACAGCGTCTTCCCCGCCAAGCCGCCCGCGACGGGCGCGGGGCCGGCCGGGGCCGAGAAGGGGTCGGGCAGCCCGCCGGGGGGCGGCGGGGCGGGCGCCAAGGAGCTGGGCAACTCCGTGTGCTTCAAGGTGGACGGCGGCGGCGAGGAGCCGGCCGGGGGCCTGGAGGACGCCGAGGGGCCCCGGCGGCAGTACGGCTTCATGCAGAGGCAGTTCACCTCCATGCTGCAGCCCGGCGTCAACAAATTCTCCCTCCGCATGTTTGGGAGCCAGAAGGCGGTGGAGAAGGAGCAGGAAAGGGTTAAAACTGCAGGCTTCTGGATTATCCACCCCTACAGCGATTTCAGGTGAGGGCTCCGCGCGCCCCGCCCGTCCCGCCCGCGCCGCGCCCGCCGGGCGCCGGGAGGGGCGCGGGGCTGCGGGTGGGGCGCGGGGTGGGCGAGGGTGGTGCTGCGGTGGCCCCCCAGTCGGGGTCAGCGGGCTCTTCCACGAGTTTCCACCCAGGACGGGGTGGGACGAGGAGTTCCTGTGGCCCGGGAACCCCGGAAGCCTGTCCGCCTTTGCCTCGCGAACTTTGGGGACCGATCGGGGAAAAGGCCACAGTGACCCCCGATGGGAGGATGCTAAGTTGTGCCTGGGAAACTTTTACTTAGGAGATGGCAGCGTAAGGAAGCGGCCAGAAAGTGGTTTGGGGGGTGCCGCCGTTCCTCGTGCTGGCCCCTCAAGAAGCGCGTCGCTCCCCAAAGGGAAAGAGGCGCTCCTGGGGCTGAGCAGAGGTTGGGACGGCCGGCCGGCCGGCCCCGGGACGATCACCCACAGGTCCCAGCTGTTCCGGTGCTTGCGCCCCAGGGGCGTTCGCCTGCTTCTCTTCTGCCGGAGGCAGTGGGCAGCGCCGCTGCGTTTCCGCGGACAGTGGCCCGCAGGCTGGGCACGGGGATCGCGCTCCCACAGCCCCGACTCCAGAGGCCAGTGCTGGGCTGGGCGGGAGCGCGACGCGCCGCCGAGCCCTGGCCCAGACGCGGGCGTGACCAGAGCCCCTTCCTGAAACGCAGGGACACCCGCTCTTGACCTTGACTCCAAGTCTATTTCAGAAGCCTCTCTCCGGTTTTCCCCAGCTCGAGAACAGGGGCAGGGAGCTGTCAGCTGTCAGGGTAATTGCTTCGGAGCCTGAAAATTAAGACGTTTCCCATCTTACTTGTCGCCCAAGTATTCATTCGCTACTGAACGGGTTTAGAGATTATCAAATGAAGGTCATGAAGTAGATCCTCTTATTAGCGTGCGCATACCCTGCAGCCAAGTTATTTTTGCTCCCGAAAAAGGCTGGGCTATCCATGAAAAACAAACACCAACTAGTAACTCGGGGCAGCCTTAATTAATTAACCGAAGGCGTTTGGAAAAGAATCAGCGAAAGGAGTGTGCGAGCACAGTAAGCAGTTTTAATAGGTGTCTAGTAAACAGCAAACAAGTATAGCAGTGAAAAGCAGGTTACTTGGAGTCACGCTTAGAAACTAAGAGAAATTGCCATCAGTTTGAGGCCTCAGTGGGAGCTGTCCATAGTGCTGAATGGCATTAGCTGTGGAAAGCCCATATCCCGCCACGCAGAGCCTTGGAGTGACTATCTTCACCTCCTCTGAGATGTGTATGATCTCCGAAATCAGTGGCCTCTATTATTTATGCACAGAGCGAATGGGTTTTAGGAAGTGTGTAATTCTCAGGTTCTTATTTGCAAAAACACAGCAAAGTCCAGAGGAGGACTTATGAAACCTAGAGATATTTATAGTGCTTTGGAAATCGAGAGTTTGAAAGAATGTTCATATTAAAGGGACCTACTACACAATCTAACATGTTTCCTCCACTAGGAAGATACCTGTAGAAACAAACTGATAAGTGGCCTTGTCATAGGAGATTTTCATGTTCTTTAGAATTTTAAAGGTTGAAATGATATATAAAATACTCTCTCAATCCTCAATGGAAATGTGTTGTAACACTTACTACCGTTTTTTTTTTTCATAATAAAACTTTATATGGCAACAGTCTTCAGTCTTAGTAACAAAAGTAAGCATGATCTTTCCAGAAATATATTTGGTTCAGTATTCACGTACAAATAAAATGCTAAGCTTTAATTTCACACCCAGTTAAATAATTACAAAGGATACTTGTATTTTTTGATCCATGTGTAAAGACTACATTTCTCAAAATGGTATCATATATCAAACAAACTTTTACCACTTACTGGATAAAAACATAGGGCCATCTTTCAGGAATTGGAATAGGGTGCCAACGTTGTTTGAATGAAGGAAGTTCATGAAATTAAAATTCTCCATATTTTTCCAAGTAAGTCACATGAGACAAAATATTTCTTTAAAAAGAAAGAAATGTTATCAAAAAAGGGAGAAGTTGAAATCAGATGATGGTTCAATTTTATTATGCATTTCTAAGAAATGGGAAATGACTAAGAAGTAAACTAATAATCTAAAAAATTCCATTGTAGAGTAGTTTGGAATATTTAAATAATTGCATAACTGGAAGAAGAAAATGAAAGACATAAACAATTACTATGATTTAGAGTTTTAACTGGAAGGTATCTGCAAAAAAGGATTTTAAAATTATAATTACAGTGTTTCTAAAAGAAAAAACTAAGGAAGTAATAATGTAAATCCTTACCAGAGAGACAAAATTCTGGGGGTATCTTTGTCCATAGGAAAAGCTACGGTGGGCAATTGTCAACACAACAGCTATGTTATGGTCCTCAAGGCCCTTTTCTGGGGAAGACACTGGAAGGGGAGGTTCTTTGCTGTGATTCCTACAATGCCAAACATGCTCAGTTGTTTATTGACTGAGAAAGTGGCTCTTAAGAAAAAATTTCCTTGGGGACTATATTGTAGATAAGGATCCTGAAAGGGCTTTTTCCTCGACACCTTCATAAGCCTTTGTATGGCGAGGCAAGTCTGCTCCCCTGCTCTTGATAAGGCCCACGCTGTTGATTGTAGCAGGAGCCTGCTACTCCAAGGCTCATCGGCTTGGGAGCACTGTGTCTCTCCCTTCTCAGGATGATGTCTGCCACTTCTGGGGGGCGGGGGGCAGGGCTGTGCTCCCACCGAGACACGGAGAGAGCTCTGCTCTGCGCAGCGGCCCAGGAGAGCTACTGCTGGGCCTGGCAGGTGGTTTTCTCCTGCCTCTGGTGTAAGTAGGGCAGAGGCTCCGTGGTTCCCTGGTTCCTCAGCAGAGGATGATGTTTGAAAACTTCAGGGATGAAAACAGACTCAAATAATATCAATATGGTTAGAAAAATGGGGTGGGAACTAGAGACTTTAGTAAAAATATTTTATGTTTTTGTTTGTACTCTGGTCTCTCAGCACCCAAACTCAGAAAATAGAGTTATTTCAAAAATACAGTTACACTGATCTTTGCATAGTGAGGACATAGTGTCAGTCTTACTGACTGAACAACACACACAAATATTTAATTTGGAGATTAAATTTGATTTTTGAGATTACTAACAGTTACTATATATGTATTAGCAAAAATTTTATTTTTCACTTAGTTAATATAAAAAAGTGAGCCTGGCCAAGCCATATGCTTTCACAGACAATCCATAGTTGTGATTTAATCATAGAAATACATTGAAAGAATGTTTAGAACACTTTTGTGAATTATTATGGTTTTTGTTATGCGAGTAATTTACCTTGGAAGAACGTATTGCCCTACTATTTGCCATTTTGGGGATTCTGACATTATTTTGTTGGATTGCCCTTATGTTAGGGTTCTTTTTAACAATAATGTGTTTATTCCATATACAGTGTCCGGTGGAAGTCAGGCGTCCTTGAATGTGGTTGTTGGGTAGTGAATGTCTCACACAAGATGGACAGCAATTTGATCACTTCACCTAAAGTGTCCTAGGGTGTGCTTGAGTGTGATGTTGTTATGTTACAGAATTACATGCTTATGATTTTGTAATAAAAGATTTTGCAATAAAAAGGGAGCATTATTTGTGCCGGACCCTGTATCTTGGCTGCCAACCTCTTGCTTCTAGTAAAGGAGAAGATTTCTTTTTTTTATGTCTTGGTGTTGTTCTTTCACTGCTTTTCATCAGCTGGTCTGAGTACCGGTACAGAAGGCCCATTGTGTCCTAAGGTGCACATGGTCTCCAGAGGTGGGGGCCACTTCCTGAGAAGGGACTTGCTGGGCCTCCATCTCCGCCTGGAGCTGCATGCACAGCTACTGATGTCAGAGGTCGGCGGTGAGTTCATTAGTGGAGGGAGGCTTCACCCTGTCGCACAGTGAGTCAGACAGACCTTGCGTCTCCAGGAGCGCCTCGAGAGGAAACAGTCCAACCCTCCAGGGTCCGAGGACTAATTAGCCGGCCCTCACGTTGCCCTGGGCAGAAGGCTCTGTGTTCTCCCGGCAACGTTCCTTTTGCTTCCTTTCAATGTCAACACAGCCAACATTAACCACAAGAACTTAGGTTTTTCTCTCTGTTAGGTGAACCTCTTCGTATCTTACAAATTCAATTAAGTTTCGCTTCATGGCTCTAACAACTTTTAGGCCCAAGTAAAATACAATTATTAGATTTGAAGTTAGGAATTTTTTTCAGCCACTCTTTCTTAGTATACTATAATGTAAGTTATACAACATAAAGTTTTATTAAATGTTTCATTCTGTATTTGTATTTCTGATATTACAGTGATATGGTACTATTAACATTTTTCAAAATGTTTTCCATTTTCTTTCTAAGCAAGTTTCTCTTTAAACCTGCTTTTGGGGACTTGGTATAAACTGAGTCGATGGGAAGATGCACTTCTACCAGTTCATATTTAATTATATGGAGTCGTACTTATGAACTTGAATGATTTTTTTTTTAGATTTTATTTATTTATTTTTAGAGATGGAGAAGGGAGGGAGAAAAAGAGGAAGAGAAACATCAGTTGGTTGCCTGTAACACACTCCCAAATGGGCACCTGGTCCACAACCCAGGCATATGCCCCGACTGGGAATCGAACCGGTGACCTTTTGCTTTGTGGGACAATGCTCAGCCAAGTGAGACACTCCGGTCCAGGTGTGGATTTGAATGTTGAATAATGATAAATTTCAAGTGCACTGGAACTTATTATCATCACAGGCTTATTTAACAAAACCTAATTAAACTATATCTGCTTGATCAAAAACCATAAAAACACCGTCACCAAAAATCAATTTAAATAGTACTTGTAATTCTGTATTATTCCACTCAATGAATCCATGTCCCAAAGAGAGTGTGAAGCTAGCAAAATACAACTGATGTGATTTTCATGTGAGCATTTTGACATTCTGGGTGCAGTTCTTGTGGTTAGTGGATAATTCACTTCAT